GCTGCTTGGCCTGCTGTGTTCATCCAGCTCTACACCTTGCTATCTCAGATTCTCCAGCAGCTACAGTTCCTACTATCTCAGATACAGACCTTGTTTATTTTTCACTGATGTATTCACTCTAGGGAGGGGTCATGTGAGTATGACCGTTTTCAAGTGGTGCCACTTTGGGGTGTTAGTGTGTAATGTCGTCCTTAGCTAGAGCTGAGTCACGTATCGCAAATTGTACAGTGATTAACTCTGCAGCCAATGTCATTGCGTTCCACATGTAAATTGCATGTCCTTGAGCAAACAAGTACTGTACTGAGGGCTGCAGTAAGTAAGTTAACACAATGGAGCTTTGTTATGAAGCAGGCTAATCAAGTGGTTTGTGTGACATTGTCGTAACTCACAAGCCCCACACGCAAGTTGTTTACGAACATCATCTGAAACCTGAGATTTCAAATCAGTGAGTTAGTATGTGGTGTGTGTGTATATAAAACCATAAGCACATTGCGCCATTACTGACTGTTTGAAAGAGATATCTGATTAGTTCCAGTTCCCCTCCTGTCTTTTTCTCCGTAAATCTATTAAATTTTCTTTTCAAGTGTGTATCCATTTTCCTTTTGAAAATTATTATTGAACCTGCTTTCACCTTTCAGGCTGTGCATTCCGAATCATAACTCACCATGCTAGAACATTCTCCTCTAGTTCTGCTGCCAACCTTAAATCTCTGCCTTCTGGTTAGCAACCCTCCTGGCAGTGGAAACCCCATGATGGACACACACATTAAATCTCACTTTTAGCCTTGCTCGTTTGATTCCATCGTTCTCGCAGGTCCAACGTTAACGTTGCCGTTAAATCTCTGACTGTTAGTGTTTGATAGCTTAAGCTCTAACTCATGAAGGTCAAATACCAAGTCTGCTGCCAAATCTCCTGCCTCTCCCTGCATCATGATCCCACCTTCACACACAGTTGCCCAATCTATCACTGACCTCCCCTCTGATGGAGATTTCCCTGCAGCACCTATAGCCTCATCATCCTGTAACCTCTCACATTGGCCTCTACCTCTTTTGTAGGGGTAGTCCTAGTGGATCCCGTTATTTCAGCACGTTCCTGTCCACGGCACTGATTTCTCCCCACCTCAATGATTTTCTTTGTCCCGTGTCTTCTCAACTACATTTATGACACCTGATATCAAATTTTCCAGGTCCTTAGCTCTAAGCCAATCTCCCCACGTCTCAATCACCCACTAGGACGGCCTGAGGACTCTCTGCTTCTCCCTTGAACAAAGGCCCAAATCCCATCAACCACCCCTCTCTAGTGCTGAGCTCGTTCTCATGTTGAACAGTTTCTCCCTTAACTTCACTCACGTCCTCCCCTTTTCACGGGGCAAATGGAACCTTCTGGACTCTGACTCTTCCCCCCCCCCCCCCAACCGCCCAAGGGAAACCTCTCACAGCTCTATTTCTGGAGCTTTTGGTGACTGTGGATCGCTTCCCCACC